ATGTGAAAAAAATTAACATAATGAAATTTCTTGTAAAGTTATACACTTAACCATCATTTTATGGCTCAAGTAAGTGCAGAATGACTTGCATTGATGTATAAATCATCAACAAAGTTCATCATGGATTTTACAATTTATGCATGTGGTGGATATAAATATAAGATTATTATTAACAATTTGTTTACCAGAATACAGTATGGATCTATTAAATAAATAAAATCATATAAATATAGTGAAAGAATGATAGGCTTATATAATTACATTTTCTTTAATTAGGCTGTCATGTTTGGTGAAATACTGTAGTAAAGGCTTCTTTATGCCTTGTTTATAGTCATATTTCTCTTCTTTTGAAGAAAACCAACGGATCTTGGTAAAAAGATTCAGCCAAGAAAGAAGAAAAGATATGTGTTTTTGTAATCAATGATATAGTTTGAGGGTCATGTAAAAAATTAACGAAGAAATTTCCATGTGCTTCTGATTTAAAAAACTTCAATTGAAAGTTATCTGAAGAGATATTTGAAGATGGATACATATGGTTGAATATTCTAACCTCAAACTGTGGTTGGAACCTGGTTGGTTTATTTTGGCGTGATAAACTTTATTTTGGACTTAAAAAACTGGAATAGATAAATCGCTATATGTATCGTACTTCTCACATCATGTATATATTAGACTTCATTATTATTACCATACTTAGATAGAATGATTTTGACTCTATTTTAGCTTGAGAATACAAAACATAACATTATAATGATGTTTTCCATTTTTTAAAATATGAATTTTTTAAGTAAACTTATAAGCTTGTTCTAGTTTATCTCATAGGTGTCATCTAAAGTAAATCTATTTGTAAAACGTAAAGATACAAAATTTCAGACATCATGATATACAGAATATTCCATAAGAGGAGTATTCCTTGTGATGAAATTTGAGTAATACAAAATATTGGATCTACATCATTTTGACAAACTGTGGTTCTCGTGCAACGAAAAGAGTCAGTTTCCAACTAATTGTAACTTAAAAATTACGTATGTACGATATGTTATCTCTTTTGTAAATTGAAAGTTCAAGTAGCTTCTTGTGTATTCATCTTGATAATTTGAAAGTTATGCCTGACCAAACATTCTGCAAATTGATGAATAACCTTAGTGTTGGTTTTACATATGGCTATGCGTATGGTTTCCATCTTCAAATCTCGAATCGAGAATGCCATCTTAACACGCGGTGCAGTCATGCTCTTTGTGTGTTCATGGTGTAGGACGTTTCATCTATTTGTATAACCATTCTAATTTCGTCACCTTGGCAAAGTCGAGCGGTCTACGATAACATATAATCTTGAAAGGTATGACTGATGAGCAGCACAAATGCACCCAAATTTCATACCAACTATTAATTATGCAATTTTTGATTATGAACATCTTATGGCGTAACAGCATATTAGACAGCTAGTTCCATCACGCGAGGGTCCCATTTTTGTACTAAACACCTGGACGAGCATCGAAGTCTCTCTGGTAGGATCAAGTCGAGACTCCCTTGTCGGCTCCGATCCACTTCCATTTCCACAACATGCGAGCAACAACGCCGGAAAGTATTTAGGGTTCATCATCCCGATTCAGCATTTCCTCTTTTTCCTCACATGTATTGGCAAACGACTTTGCTGCAGTGTCGTTGAAATCACGTCAAGCTTTCAGAAAAAGATTAAATACGCCCATCGCCATTTCAGAGGGTGTCACGGCCCAGGATTCTAGCGCATGACAGGTAGGTGGGCTTACCCTACGGTTTCTCCGACTACATGCCAGCGTCCGACGGGTATCTGGAGTTTCCCTCTTGGAAGAGAGGCCGAAACGTGTACGCGAGTTTCTGAAGTCGGTATTTATCCTTCGGGGATACTTTCAGACCAGCCTTTGACGTGTTGGCAGCGCAGCTAAGAGTTCTGCTATTTTGGCAGGCGCTGTTCTGTTTGTCTGAACCGGTTGGTAGCGCTGCTACGTACCATGAGACCAACCGTCCCCGCCGACGAGGGTGACAACAACCCGCAAATCGCACTCCGAAACCTCCCGGTTCTACAGTTTCCACCTCGTTGAAACTGGCGAACCACGGCGGGTCTCCTTCGGTTTCTTGTCCGATGGATCGGCGGTTTGAAAATAGGACGGAAATAGAATATCATGCCGGTAACAATTCAAATGGTCCAGGATTCTTTCCCCGCTCCTCTCTCCCTCCCTCCCTGTCGCGGACTCCCTGGCTGTCCGGATAGCAGAAGTAACGGGGGACCCGGGGACAAGAACTAGCTTACTCATTTTAACCAGAAGTCTTAGGCGGGGTATTTGAGCTCTAGGTCTGACACGGCTCAATCCCCTGTTGATACCAAATTCAGGTACCTGAAACAGATTAATATACGCCACGTCGGATCCACGTAGGAACTTGGCCCCTACGATATTTAATTATGCACGAAAGCTTAGATTAGTAAACCGAAACGGCGGAGAGTGAATCAGAGGGTGACGTCAGATGGGTTCGGGACGGCTCTAAACCAGACTTACTAAAATCTGGCAAATGCCAGGTTTGCCAGAACTACGGTAATTCTGGCAGATTTTTCTACTTAATTTTGGCAGTTTTGGCACTAACACTAACTTCACTATTTTTCCTCCAAGCGGTTTGCTACAACAGTTTTCAGCGTTTCAAATTGCTTAGCATGCATAATGCCTGCCAAAAAAATACTTGTCAGCCTTGTGCGTGAGTCATCTTTCTCCCATTTAATAATGGAAAAATCGCTTTCAACTGAGGTAGTATTTGGAAAAGCAGTAGCTAGACCACCGCACAACTGTCGCAAATGCAGAAAACGTCCATTTAAACAATCCCATGCCTAGTTGAAGAAAGTCTTCTCGCTGTGATTGTCAATGGTCTCTTTCACATTCAGCTCACGCCCGTAAACAAGTAGCAGGTCACGGTGTTCACTCTCCGCCTTGTCGATCATGTCAGTGCTCCAGTGCTTGCCCAGGTGAGCCCTGTATTGATCCACCACCTCGCTGATAAATAAAGCAGGACGCATCTTAACTAAATCTGCTGGCATCACAGGAGGTGCTTCCAATTCCTTGACATGATTGTTAGAACCACGTTCTGCCTTGATCTGCAAACCGTTTGCCACAATAGAGAGTGAAAAAGTACCTATCTCCTCCAATGTCTGCTGTTGCTCAAATCCTGAAAGCTCATAATACAGATCCCTTGCCCACGAACCTTGATCTAATATATGCATGACAATAGAATTTTTTGTTACAAACAAACCATCTTGCTGAACGATTGTGATAGAATCAATTTCGTTCAGCGCTGCATCTGTAGTAGAACGAATATCCAAACTATCTGCAATGTCTGTCATCAGCTTTGCTAACTCTTGGCGTTGCTGAGAGATGATCAGCTTTGGAGATTGGATTGAGGAGATAGTGGCGGCAATCCGCTCAAACAATGGTGATAGAGCTCCTGCAATGATCCACCATTGCATGGATGGGGCTTGGATAGGTCGTCTATTCTCCACGTGAATCATCAACCGACGACGATGTTCCAAAAGCCAACAGAGAATACTACCAAACGCCACCCATCGCGTTGTGTCCTTTGGGCATTTGGAACCCATTTCGTTGATGAGATTTTGTTGAGCTCGAAGATGCACAGAAAACGCATGGGCAAACTTATAAAACATCTCGTTCAACACACCATGCGTGGCATTTTTCACCACAATATCAAGCTGATGAGCAACGCACCAAATACGAAGCACAGGATTGGAACATTCCTTCTCAAGCAATGTGACAACTCCAGCGTGCCTACCTGTCATTGTGTTTTCTCCATCTGAACTGATTGAAATGATTTTGTCGCGCCAAGATGTACACACACTGTCAAGCATAGTCTTGATGAGCTTGACATAGTTTTGAGCAGTATGGCGTTCAAAGAATGGAACCAGCACCAGGTGGAAGTTGTACAACACGCCTTTCACGCACACACGAATTCGCTGGTCAAGGACAGGAACTCCCAAATGTGTGCTTGCATCAGCCGCTAGAGAAAACGCCCAAATGTTTGGATCCATGAGTATATCGGAGATGATCTGCAGGGCGACGGCAAGGAGCACACGCACGAACTGACTCACCATATTATCGTTGAGGCCGTTCAATTTTGGATTCTTGGTCGCTACACGATGCTGTTCAATCACCTTGGCTGTCTGCCTAAATGACAGTCCAACAGAAACATGTTGCATGGCAAGGTTGAACCGCAAAGAGTTCTTGATCGTAACCAAGTATGATCCGTCTGGCTGCAGTTTGAACAACTTCATGGCGTTGGCCTTGGTGATTGGTTGGAACACATCGTCTTCTTCGTCTTCTTCCGGATGAAAAAACAAATCTACCACCACAACATCAACTATCGGATACTGAGAAATTACAAACTGAAGAGTGTCCTTGTCTGTGTCTAGGTAACGGTGTATGCCTGATATATCTCTGGTCTTGAAGAAACTAACCTTTTCTTGATACGAAAGCAGTTGGTCTGTTTAGAGTCTAAACAGGCCCTAACATGCCATCGGCACTGTCCAGTGTTCCGATCGGTCCTGTCCTAAGCCGTTGAACCGGTTGTATCGACTTACAGAAACGACGGACTTTCTGAGAGAGTTCTATCGTAACTCTCAAATGCCGCCGTTGGTCTGAGAGATACCGGTGAGCCTGGGAATTTGACTGGCAGCTGTAATTCCAGCAGGTGCGGAGGAAACCTCGGAGTACGCTGTAGCCGGCCATTATGTCGGAGATGGAAGATCGCTCTCCTGCCAAATCTCGCTCCCCCACCGCCCGGTCCGCCGGAACGGACCGGAAGAGCCCGCGAATACGAGAGCGTCCGTCGTATCGTGTCTGCGAGGTGAAGGGGGCAGGGGTTGCTCCGCAGACTCCCGTTAGGCGCTGGGGAAGGGACGGGACGGGACGGGAAGGGAAGGGCAGGAGAATTCCTTAGGGAAGACAAGGGAATGCGGAGATTCCTCTCCTGTCGCTGTCAGCTGGGATCGCGAAGTCTGATGCATTGATTCTGCGATTATGCTCCTGCGGATTCAGTTTGCCTGCCTCTGCTGCCCGACTGCCAGTTCGCATCGAGGGCGGGGGAAGGCTTAGAAGAGAAGTGAAGGGAAGGGAAGAGAAGGGATCTGGCCAGAGGCGAGCACCAACTGCTGCCGTTGCTCGTTGCCGCGGAAGCGAGAAAGAAACAGTGGAATGCGAAGACCTATCGAGAGGCGAGTAAAGAAAGAAGCGAAAAGGTGGGGCAGGAGGAGGAGGAGGATGGTTGTCTGTTTGTCGACTCCTGTGCCGGAGAACGGACTGCGTTCGGGCGAGTTCTTGACGAGATTGATGGAGTTTTGAACGAAGCGCGGATTATGATATTCTTTCTTTGCCGGAGGGCCGATTGTTTCTGCAGAGCGTGCGCGGTTGAGCCCTTCTTCATGCGCTGCGTGTTCGATGAGCCTCGCAGTGTCGAGGAGTGAGTGGTGAGTGCGGGGAGGGAGAGAGGCTGGGATGGCGAGAAAGGCCGGTATGAAGGAAGAGGAGGAGGAGGAGAAGGGAGCATAGGCGTGGCAATTGGGGGAATTCCAGGCGAGCGATGGATTGGAAGGAGTGAAGCTTATCTTGTTATCTTGGAGGACTCGTGTTCTGACTTGCACGCCTTGTGAAGCGCTGACATGGACTGGAGGACGCTGGGCTGGAGGTGGTGAGCGTAGGAACTGAAAGAACGTGCTGAGCGAATCGGAATTGGTCGCGGTGGGAGTGTTGCGGAGGGGACGACAGGGGCCGAGGGCATGGACCGGGGGGTGCTGGGATCAGCGCCAGCCCTGGATGGAAACAAAAGGAAAAGAGCTGATGCCAAGGCAGCCTACATCACGAGTATGATGCAAGGAAATCCGAAGCTGCTTCTCTCGGAATCGCCGCTATTTGATGGGCTCACTCAACACCAGCTTCCGTTCAATGTCACTGTGATTGGAGCGCCTCCAGATGTGCAGTATCAAGCACGCATTGTCCTACGCTTTGCGGTATTTCCTCCTTAGTGTCCAAAGATTTGCATAGATCAAGACGTCAATTGGATTACTGAATTCTTACTGCAACATGAGATATGTGGTGCTGGTCATGCGATCCACGATTTGCGTGCAAATGTTTCGAGCTTCCTGTATCTCGGAGCGTGTTCACAAATGCTGCTTATGAATCCAGCTGGAATGTTCGGGGATTTGCCCGCATTCTATCGAGCTTTATTAAACAATGTGCCAAATCCACGAAATGCACCTCGGAAGGGGCTTTTTCTTACTGCTTCATTTGTTGTTGCCGGGTGGTCCTCTTCGGCCCAGCCTAGGTTTCGAAGGGATGATCTCATTTAGTCTCATAAAGATTGCGAGGTTCATAACAGAGACTAACTCATAATGGCTGATTGTCTGCCACATTCAACAAATGTGACAGACCATGCCGGCTTCCAAGAAAGTTAGGACATGCCGTTTGAACATGAGTTTCGAAATTACCCATGAGCGATCCAGATTCATTACATGTATCATGCAAGGCTCGAATCAACGGTTTCGTAGCTGCTATGCTCTTGCATTAGGAACTTGTGGCAAATAACATGATTATTGCTTGATCCAGTCAAGCCATGGGAATTTGATGAAAAAAGTTTAGCAGGATGGCGTGAAGTTATATACAGTACTTTGACTCTCGTTCTTCATACCCTTCCAAGAAAACTATTTGCAGAATTCAGCGACTATTATGTCCTCCTCATGGAGAATATCTCATTGGGCTTTACTCGTGCAGTGGTTAGCCATATCATGGATTCCTTGATCGGGGCCTCTGTTATCTACCTCTTCACACCAAATTTTTTTATGTTCTTCTTTGAGCTGAAATCACCTACCGAGAACTTGCCCACAGCACTAATACAATATGTCATATCAGTCCTGTGGCTAGTTCCCGGTCGTAGGATGCGCATGCCTGCTTTACCCGCTGCATCTGTGAACCGTGTTCTGTCGTCTTCTTCTTTAAACATGTTTGTCGTTTGCCCGACATTAAAGCATCAACTCATTGTTCGATTCAGGACAACTCAGAAACATGGGGAGTAGGAGTGGCCCGTACGAAGAAGGAGTCTGAACGCGTTGCTGCAGTGGATGCATGCAGAATTTTACATGTAAGTTACAAAACTTCCATGGGTTTTCATGGTACAATTGGCTCAATTTTTATTGGTGGTCAAGTAACTCACTCTATCTTGCATAATGTTCCACGTCTTTCATACCCCGATATTAAGAAGTTCTTCTCCAGGAGAAAGGGCTTTTATTGAGTACAACGAAAAATGGAGGAAGTAGCTCTGGCTGGGGAGACAACCCCAAAAATACCCTCGTCACTAGTGTGGCATTTCGTGATGTGTGCTGTGGAGGCAACGCACGAGCTTTGCCGATTACTGTACGCTCCTCTGGTCCAGATCATGCCAAGGTAACGTCGAGAATGCTAAAGTTGACATATTCTAGCTGAAGTTAACTTGAAATATTATTCGATCCTCTCGTTGTTAAAGTTGTCAAAGTTCAGTTCCCTCAATGTTGTTTTGAAGCCCAAAAAAACCGACTGCTTGTGCCGCAATTGCAGGTATTTGTCGCCGAGTTGGCTGTTCCACTTCGTTCCCGGAATGAAGTTTACGTGGCAGTCGGACAGGGACGGAATAAATCCGAGGCAGAGCGTGCTTGTTGCACAGCAGCATGTGAAAAACTGCATCACGAGGGGCTTTTGAACAAACCCAATTCACAGAGTCCTGTTCCAACAGTTCCGGCTGCTAAACCGACCTCAACTAAAGCTGTTCAAATCCAACAGGTAGCTGAGATCCCAAGTCATAGAGGTTGTCATGATTCTATGTTGGTTCATATCAATGACATGCTAAGGTTCTAATAGTTCATATTGTCAACAGCAAAATGAGCAGCCGGCAATTGTTGGGCTACGAGATGAGGAGCTTGCGATGATGGAAGATGCATTGCAACGTCTACATGCGGAGCTACAAAATTCTGTTCCTCTGATGTGGCCGTCAGAGCCTGTATCTATCTCCAGTAATGGAGTCCACCATCAGCATCAAATGTTCGATGGTCCCGCTAGCTCAGTCAGCAGGGAACAGTTGGCCACAGAGAATGCTATGATGAGGTTGGAGGCCAGGAAAAGGATCTCCTCCTCTGAGTTTGTTGAGCAGAGAAGGGCCAGACAGGCTTTACCTTCGTGGATGGAGAGACAGAAAATTGTTGATGCCATTTCCGGCAATCGCGTTATCGTCCTGACTGGGGAGACTGGATGTGGGAAGACCACTCAGGTAGAGCTTTGATCATATGCATGTTGATCTTTAATTTCCGAGCATTTTCCTTTAAAGCTTAATCTCTTTGAATTATTTTTACTGATATGTCAGTAATGGGCTGCTCGTTCTTCCCTTCCGGTTCAAAACGTCGTGTAAAGTATGTGGAGTAGTTACAGTAGTACAGTAGTTAATTGCACCACATGTTTTCGATTAACTACAAGCTTGAACCCCTTAGTAAGTTTGACAAACACTTGTTCGCTTTCACTATCAGCCGAGTGCTGTTAACGACATTACGTACTCATGACTTTCTTCAAAGTTGTATTTGATAGGTTCCTCAGTTCGTTCTCGAGGATGCTGAAATGCAAGGTATGGGTGCTGAAGTGCACATCGTGGTGACGCAGCCAAGGAGGATAGCTGCAATCAGGTAACTGTAACACTATCTCTTCAAGTATTATGTTTCTACACTGTTATTTGTTGGCGAAGCCAGAAGCTTAGCTTAAGAAGGATCTGCTTGCTAGTTGGGTCCTCTACCGCATGCTACTTTCATAAGTTCTTGTCTCCCTACTCCTCAGGGTGAGTACTCAAGCTGCATGTGAATAACTATCAATGTTAAAAAATTGTGATGGGCACCATGCGTTGACTGCTCCTATTGCTGAAGTTGTTGAGTAAGGTGATGGCCTTTTTACCATGAAGGCTACTGTGATCTTGTTTTTGCACTTGATTATATGTAATTGTTAAGAGTGGACGAAGATAAAGATGCTCGTCAGACAAACCAAACTCCTGGTTCGAGCTCTGTGTGCATGTGAGTCAGAAAACTTTGATAATGCTCCATGCAAACTTTCTTAATTTATTTCCATGCATTTGTACTATCATGGACTGCAGTGTTGCTGAGCGTGTGGCGTGGGAAAGGGGTGAGGCTGTTGGCAAGAGTGTCGGATATGTCATAAGACTGGAGAGTGCTCCTCCCAGAGTCCGCGGAAGCATTCTCTATTGTACAACTGGTATTCTACTGCGGAGATTACAGGTTGGACTCACACTTGACTGCTACCACCAAGCAGAGCAATTATGATTTTTCATAGATCACAAATTAGGCTGACAGTTCTTGTAATAGATGGCAAAGGAGTCTAGAGTCAACCAAGTGGCACAAGCATGGGTGTTGCAGTACTCTGCAGTCTGTTCTTTGGACATTTTTTCTCAATGATCTTTATCTATGTGTTCTGAGGTAGATTCTGTAGCGATGAGCATTGAGAGTTCAGTGGGGAACAGTAGTACGTGAAGCTGTCTCATGCTTGAACGCAGAATTTGGTTCAACATAGATGAGATATTCTGGCTGCAAGCCTTTCGAGCTGAGTAGAAAGAGCGTTGGAAGTTCTTGATTTTTGTTTTGCTTTGTTACTAGAGATGCAAGGGAAATATCTGATGACTGACTTTGCGAGTGCGTTAAAGTCTTCAACAGTGACCTCTATTTTAAACGATTCATGAATGAGTTTAGCATAGCTTTTGGGAAGAACCTCTGGTAGGAAGAAGTTTGGTTTTACCCTTTCACCTTCAACGTTGAACCTGACCGTAGATGTATCTATCATTGTGAGAACGTCTCTTCAGAGATTGTTTCGATGAGATAAGGTCCTTTCGGATCTTATCTTACCCAATCGCATTGCTGCAGTGTACGAAAGGGTTGTTAGTTGGTTCGTCCTTAAATAGCTGCCTCAGATTTGGCAAAACCATTCTATGTAGGAATCTAATTCCCAATAATACTGCCACATTTTGGTTTGTAAGATATATACTCTTCCTTCAGGGTACGTACACGCATAATTTCTCATTCTGTACGATATGCTAAATCATCGTACTGACTGCATAGTCAGTAGGATCATTTTTGCGTTCCAGTTGCAAGTGCTTCCGATGTGGAGGCGCTTGACAGTGTCTTGACAAATCGCCTTTTAAATCTCATCTTTGCGGGGACCCAATCTTGATAGTATTGCCTTAGATTCTTAGCTGGTATATTTTATATCTCAGAGATCCAGTCAATGTCGTGATTAAACGGGAGCGTATGACAGGTGTTGAAGACTGTGTTTAGATCAAGAACTTTCAGTCTTATTCCTGATCTATACCTTCTCAATAAGGTAATATTTCTCCAGATTTAAGTATGTGGGCACTGTTCTCCGCAACCCACATCCTTACATCTTGGATGGTGGAAAGGTCTGCCGTGGAGACTACTAGGTTTGGATGCCCTCATGGTATGAGAAGACTTTGTGTACCCATTCTGGATCCTTCCATGAATTCAAGATTATGTATTATTAAAGCTCCGGAAAATGGTGCTGCAGTGTGATGAAGCACAGGACTTGGACATACGTTACTCTTGAGGGCAGATTACCCTACACAACTGGAGCCAGGGAACTAGAAGACATATCATGACGACATCGCCTTTGTCATACCGGTGAGCTGCCGAAGTGCAAACTAGATGCAGCCTCTGCTAGGAGAGATGAGAGCTTGGGTGGCTCGTTAGAGTGAAGGAGGGTCTATCTCTTTGGCTTTGGCTGATTGAGGGGCTTCAAACAGATAGCTTCTTTAACTTGCCATATCACAAGTTGGGTCCTCTCGTGGGCACCACCAGCTCTGTCATGAGGGGCTCCAATATGTGACATTGATGGGGACGACCGTGGTCCAGTCCTGGCATTTCCTTCGTCATCGGGTTGTCTTCATATAATTATCAAATTAAAATGTGCTCTTTTTGCATTTCTCCCCTCTTTCCGCTGCCTATCTTGTGCGATCTGGAGGTGGAAAAATGGGAGAGATAAGAGTGAAGCAAATTGGATGGAGCTAGTAAGGAATTTAACAAGTCTAGCCTATCTTGGGCTCTTGGACACCCTTCTGAGCGGATGAAGTGAGACGAAGGTGTGGTGGGAGGACAGTGACGGATAGAGGATACTGTTAGTTTCTTCGGATTAAATCTCGACGGAACGAAGAGTACAACAGCCTAAGCAGCCCAAAGGATAAAGATTTATGAAATCTGGTAGCAAGTCTTGTATTACCGGTGTCACATAAACGGTTCAAATACTTAGAAAATTTAGGGAATTGAAGATAATTGCGAGCATAACTCTTGCCAATTTGGGAAGCTTGGAGTAAGAAGAATTGCTAACCTGCGTGTAGTTCTAAAGGATGATAGGTTGCGAAGCTTTCATTACTATGTAGCCAGACATCCATAACTTGCTTTTTACGGCCAAAGTGATTGCATTATCAAAGTCATTGAATGAAGAGGAATGACTTCAGGTAGACCATCGGATCACAGTAGTCTTGCGTACGTAGAAGTCTGCTTATCTTTACTATCCTTCGACGTGGGAGCCAAAACTCTGTCTTTTGGATCTGCGTAATTCCTTCACTTGTCTTTATTGGGTTCACTTAAGTGCTTACAAATATTTTACTGCGGGGTCTTTAGAGAGCATACCGTTGAAGACAGTATCCTGTTATATGTATTCATGTGTTCACGGTAAGACAAATGAAATCTTTACGATTGGAGCGCTTTACGAAAGGCTTAAAATTGTTGCTTCCAAGTCTAGACAGAATGAGTATGGCGAAATGAGGTAGTGGTTCTGGTTCTCTTATGTTCCAGTTACGAGGAAAGCTTCTACGTTGAACTATTTACACAATGTGCAACCATATAATTGGCAAACGGGGAAGATTTCTTGTTGCTTCTAGTTTGGGAAACGGATGTTTTGTTTACTGCATTGGGCAAGAGAGGTACTCACCATTGCACTTATCTTAGAATATAGTGCCTTCAACAATACTTGGAATATGATCTCTTTCAGCAACCCATTTTAAGAAAGCATCATAGCATTAAGCAGAGCGATTGTTTAATTCGTGAATTCTGTAAGCGGACAACTTTTCCACTTGATATTGCGCTGTGGCTGATGAGTGAGGATTAAATTGAAGATAGTTTCCGTTTTAGACTTCCTGGTGAGACGTACTGTGAATCTGTCGTAGGTGTGAGAAGTGTTACTTCCTCAAGTCATCAAAGCGGTGGTATTGCGTTATTGTGGAGGATCTGAGGCTTGCTTTTGTGACATCTTAAATTTTATTTTTTTTTTCATATTGTTTTTGTCAAACTTCATATCATACTGTCTGTTGACGGTCCTTGTTTTAGAACTTTTCCTTCCTGTGATGAATATATGCTTGTTGTGTCGGCCTGCGCTGTCAGTTTATTGATCAGGAAAAGTTATTTTTTCATTTTATTTGAGTATTTTTAAGTGTCCGTAATAAACTTTCTTAATGACGCTATGTATACCTTTACCAGTCTCTTCTTCAACCTATCTTGAAGAGTCTACAAGTTTTTCGTCATTCGTAACCTCCAATTGACTTGAAAGCCATATAATACCTTGCCTAATTCCTTGCATAAGAAGTTAAGGCCTTATTCAGTCAATTGAAGAATGAAATGCCTTTGATTTGTTTGTTGTTGAAAATCTTTTCAGTATATTGTTCCTACTGGATAATCGAAACCTATTGTTCCTACTGCAAAATCTCCAACTTCATGCTAAGGATTGTCTTCTGAGTTTCTAATGTAATGAGCCCTTAAGGTTATGACCATTTACTTCCGGCTGTGTTGGCAGAAAGCTGATGGAATGGCAGGAGTGAGCCATGTGATGATTGATGAAGTACATGAGCGCGATATGGACACTGATTTTCTCCTTGTAGTAGTCCGTGAACTTTTGGGACATCATCCCTCTTTGCGAGTTGTCGTAATGAGTGCAACCCTGGATGCATCTGTCTTCACGAGGTCTGGAAATTTCTTTCTGATTAGTATCTCCTCAGTCGCTCTGAGACCACAGCACATCTTGTCGTGAATAGTTTTCTATCATCCGAGTGAAGTTCAGCCGTTGAGGTAAACTTTCCTCTCTCTGTTCTGTAGGTACTTTGGATGCTGCCCTTTAGTGAACGTCCCGGGAATGACACACCCAGTGAAGGTTTTTTTCATGGAAGACCTTCCTCAGTTGATGGGCCAGAATAGTCTCGTCGCTGCAAGGCTGAATATGGCACGGATGGGCATGTCCGATGAAGAAGACGTTGATTGTGAACTTGTAGCTTCAGTCGTTTTATTTGTGGCTCAATATTATTCACAAGGAGAGGGCGCAATTTTGTGCTTCTTGCCCGTATGTCCTCATCCCACCATTTCATTCAAAACCTATCTGGTTTGCCAGCTGGTAGTGTAATTGTTTTCAATTATACACAGTTTTGCTTGTTTAGTACCATTCCAAGACTTCAGCAAGTGCCTAAGTTGTCTACTCATGAATCTGCAGCTCAAAAGGTCTATGTCTCTTTGTTTGGCAGGGTTGGGACACAATCGCAATTGTTCGGGAGAAGCTTCTGAAGACACCACTAAGCAGGGGTCTGATGTTGGTTCCCTTGCACTCTCAACTCCCAGCTGGGGAGCAACGTGCTGCTTTTACTCGGCCACCACCGGGAATTCGCAAGGTGCCTTGCTGTGTGAATCAGCTTTAGTTAGACGAACCTTCCATCGTTTGCAAAGTTCGAATCAACCGAATGCAATTGTGACATATTTCCTCGTTTCTTGGTAGGTGGTACTTGCCACCAATATTGCAGAGACGAGTGTTACAATCGATGATGTAGTCTACGTGGTAGACTGCGGCAAGATCAAGGAGAAACAGTTCGATGCATCACGGAATATGACAACGATGCGCGTGCAGGTACATCGCCATATCTTGAGCACTTATCATGCGCTACTTGAGAATACGTATCTTTTTCCTCAGTGTTCATCAATAAACCCCGTTATCATCAACTACTTTTTATGACTGCGTTGTTTTGTTCTTCTGTGGAAGTTCTGATTATTCTTAAGGCCCTCAACATGAAATGCTTGTTAATGTTTGAAAAACAGTGGACTTCACAAGCCAGTTCAAGGCAGCGACAAGGTCGAGCAGGGCGAGTCCAACCTGGAGTCTGTTATCGACTGTACACTCGGGGGGTAAGTTCAAGTTGTTGGAGAGGAGAGAATATGTAGTCACGTATGTTCTTCCCAGCGTCCGCCAGTCTAGTGGTAGCAGGAAAATAGGGCTTTGCTGTACTTGTTGATCAGTTACCTTGTTTCTGAAGGAAATCATCTTTGAAACTGCAGACCTACCAATCCATGCTGGAGCACCAGATACCGGAGATGCAGAGGGTTCCGCTAGAAGAATTGTGCTTGCAGATCAAAGCGATAGCAACACCTAGTGCGGTGAATATCTCACCAGTTGCATCGGTGAATTTGATCAAGATCCAGTGTCGTTCCTCGAGTGTCACATGAAAAGTTTTCGCTGAAGAATTTTACTCCTGTTTGCTTTGATTGTAGGTGGCTGGTAATGCTTTGGGAGGCACGGATCATGCTCTTTACCATAAGGAGATGGACTTTGCCAGCACTGGCATGAGTGATATTGCCACTTTTCTTTCTAAGGCTATGCAGCCGCCTAAAGGCACTGCAGTTCATGCTGCTATTAAGGTACTACAACAACTTGGCGCCATCGACCAATTCCAGAACTTGACAAATCTTGGCAAGACATTGGCAAAGTTGGCGGTGCACCCTCGATTTGGTAAAATGCTTGTTTATGGAGCACTTCTGGGCTGTCTGGACCCTCTACTCACAATTGCAGCTGCAGCGTGCTTCAGAGATCCCTTCATTGCACCCGTATCTAGGAGAGAAGAGGCTGATAAGATGCGTGAGAGCTTTGCCATCGGTCCTGCTTATGGAAGTGACCAACTTGTATTAGTCGCTGCCTTTAACCAATGGCTGGCGGCCAATGCCGTGGGCCAAGGCCATCCATTTTGCGATGCTCATTTCCTAGCTCCTATGACAATGAGGTTGATAGCAGGCATGAGGAAGCAATTTGAGCGAACGTTATCAGAAGCAGGTCTCTTTGAGCCGTGGGTAAGAATCAGCAGTCCAGATGTTGGTGCACATGTAGCGAGATCTCTCCTCGCAGCCGGGCTGTATCCAAACGTTGCTCGGTCAGAATTGTGTAGAGAGTCCCGAGGGATGAAGAACGCAACCAAGCACGCCTACCGGTGGCGCTTGGGTTTTCGGGTTCAAAATGGACGAGTATTTATCCATCCTACCTCCGTGGTGTCAGAGAAACAGTTAAATCCGAATCTGCACTACTATCTCGTGTTCCAGGAAAAGATGCAGACAAGTCAGGTTTTCGTCAGGGGATGCACACTTCTTCCTCCCTTGGCTGTGGTTCTTCTAGGTTGGAATGTACTTGTCTGTAATGATCCGGGCCCACCTGTTCTAAATGGAGATTGGATGCTCTTGGAGGTAGAAGGGTGGCTAAGGTTTCACATTGACAAGAAGGCTGGGCTCCTCTTGCTGCAGCTGAGGCATGCTTTCGATGCAGTTTTGGCTCGATGGGTTAGTGGTAGTACGCGCACCGAAGCGGAGCGTTGTGTTGTGGAGTGTGTGGTAAATTTACTGGAGGCAACCTGCCATGACATGCTCGTGTGTTCCAATTGAGGGTTTGCGCCTCACACAACTGCGTCAATCTTTACTCCTCGGTCTCATTGCTACACTCGAGAGTAGTATGTATGAGTATATTATTAATTTTAGTAGCTGTGTCACATTTTGTAGATAAAGGCACATTGCCAAATATTCTGGTGATATAAACTTCAGTATCCGCTATATAGTTACTTAGCGAGTTAGTTTGTAGTGTTTTAGGTGGACGAACAGACAAACACAGTTCATCAATGTCCCCGTTGAGGATGAATAGGATTCGATCATAGACAGCTTCAGTTTTTTCCAGTCCAGGGACGTAGATGCGGCAGTACCAGAGATGGCATCCATCATACAAAGAGCTGATGGAGCTGAGAACGTTGTTTCAAAGGGAAGGTATTTATAAATCTGGAAACTGCCTAGACATTTTGTACATGAGCGGTAACCATCTTGTTGACCTCAAAAGACAGGGGAGTACAAATTTACCATAAATGTTTGATTCATTTTGTGTTACTTCGTTAAGTCTTTTTTCTTTTCTTGTTGGTTGCAGGCTCGGTTGCCTGTTTCATAGTTCGCTTCGCATTTATATTTGTCATTTAATACAAGGTTCAACTCACTGTCGGCTATTACATCGTTAAGCATACGATTTGTGCACTCGCAGTGATCTTTACTCATCAGTATGCGGTGCTGGTAGCTAGGACCAAGGAGAGAAGAAACACACAGAAGGAGGATTAGATGCGTTTGGAAAGTATATCGGAGTAAACCCCTTTCAATGCCTCCGCTTGAACTTAGAAGGTTGCAGCTAAGTAACCATTCGATTCTTTGGTTTAAAGAAACTCACTTTCGGGTTCTGAAAAGTATAATTTTCAATTTTACTTTTCACGCGCTTTCTGTAAGGATTATACGCCAACGCAGGATTTGGCCGACAGTTTTGGAGACTGAATCCAGCTCTGCCATACCCGGATTTGTGGCCGGTGTCACCAGTCGGGCAAGATTATGGTAAAAATGGCGCTCTGATTTGCCCAAAGGTGTGGCATGTGCCCAGGTTGTCTACAGCGGCTTCGGGCGAGTAGATTCTAATGCAGTAAATGTTACTTGGGTAGTGTCACTTTCTACGAGTAACATGAAAGTGTGGAACCATTAGTTCTAATGTATAAATTTGACCCATAAAAATTATACATCACTATTGGCAATAATGACATGAGACGGTTCAATAATGATATCGTGAAATTTTAATGACTGTCATAATTACCGAAAGTATCCATTCATCACTAAATCTGTATTATAGACCTTTGATGACTGTCATAATTACCGAAAGTATCCCTTCACATATCTGTATGTATATCACTATAGCTGTATTATAGACCTTAAGACGTAGACTGAACGGAAGTCAATGTTGTGACATACACGATACGACGACAAATCTTGAATATGGAATTAAAGGATCGAGAAGGAAATACACAAGAGAATTACATATGGAATAATTTTGTAGAGATAAAAAGAGGTGGGGTAAAGCATATACCTTCATCTACTCTAAACCCTAATTTCAATCCCACCAATATATAGAAACAAATAGAAAAAAACAATATCTCCAAAATTGCCAAAAAATGTAGTTGCTTCAAAGACAAAGTTGTATAGTTATTACAAAACAAAAATAGCTTTATGAAAGATCTATAAAATTCAAAGTTTTGATCTAACAAAAAATCAATAGAAACGTAAAAGATATGTCACATGCATTAGAGAATAAAGAAGAGGGTGAAACTATTTTGACTCTTGTGTAATTTTCACATAATAATTTTTTTAATGAATTTACAAAAATATTTTCATTATCTCCAATTAATAATCTTCTATCTATAACTTCAAGTTTGACGAATCTCCAAAAAGAAAAATAGTTTTTTATCAAAATAATTATGGTAATCAAGAACTACATGAAGCCAATAGTAAGTTGTTCATTGAGTATAATAAAAATATATAATATGTAGATGCTCATTGCAGAAAATTGATTTTAAAAAAAATTGATCATATTTGATAATCTAAAATTTTATTTTTAAAAAAACCAATAAAGTTTAATATTAGATTCATTGATATTTTCATGATATTGAAAAGTGTTGATGAATTTTTAACACAAGAGATTTGAAAAATACTCATTCAAAGATGAAACACAAATTTGAAGATGAAAGTTACATATAACGATTCTACACTCCCTTACATACATCTAACCAACAAGTACAAGTAGATACAATTTCACTCCCATCATACATTACACCTTTAGTGAATTAACGACATGTCGGATAATACTAACAAACACACAAATTGTTCACGTGTTGCTCTCAACTAAGACACACAATTTCTAAGTAATAGATAATGAGGTGTACAAATGTCGCTCTCAACTAACACACATAGTTTTTACCAAAAAAATATACATATTGCTGACATGTTGCTGTTTAGTGATACATTTGCTTCCTATCTATAAAACATACAAATTATTGACATAAGAATTACACATAATCCACTTGAATTAAGCTACATTTTCATATTGAATAAGCTCTATTTTGATTTGAAGATGGTTATAAACCTCATTTTTTCAAAGCAACAAATTTGTTGCACATACATTCAAATTCTAGAATCATCAAAGTGCATTATCTAGATTTCCAATTGATATTCAAGTTGATACATATGATGAATATATATTTTATTGAATAATATATTATATTTTGTGGTATTTATATTCTCAAATATTTTTCTTGAGTATCTTCACTACCTCAAATTTCCTATGATGAGCTATCAAGTCTAAAAAACAAGCTGATTTTAGTTGATTAAAGAATTATTTTGATCGTGATACATGTTTTTGCAATTTTTACATATCATTTTTGTTCATTATTTCATTGAAATATACTATGTATTTTACATAACACAAAAATTTGAACTTGTATGATACTTCATCAACATTTTTCAATATCGCAAAAACAATGAATTTAATATGAAACTTTGATGTTACTTCAGAACAACAAATTTGTTGTAGATTACTAAACTAGATAATCTATTTGATATCAACTGTCTACAATGAGCATCTGCATACTGTTTTGTAAATTTTAAGCTAATCACCCACTTTTTGATAATTTTATAAATATGCTCCACAAAATGGTTATATGTGATTATTTTGGTCAAAAACTTCTTTCTTTTCTGAAGCTTGTCAAACTTGATGTAATTATGGAATGAGCATTATACATGAAGTAAAATGAAAACAAATTTGTTGATGCATTGAAAAAATTATTATATGCAAATTTCACAAGAATCACATGATTATTCTAGGCTTGTTGCTTTTCTACTGTCAATAATTGTAACATATATTCTACAAATCTATTGGTTTTTTCCATTTCAACATCAATTTGAGAATGATAAGTTGTTGATAATATTTAATTTATTTTGGAAAAACTAAACAAATTGTTTCAAAACAAACTAGTGAAATGAATTTCTCTATCAATGATTAAGATTATGCATAGTCAATGATTCATAAAAACTACATCTAGATAAAATTGAACAAATTGTGAAAATGTTATTTTTTTGTGATTGACTTGATGTGAATCATTTTGATCAATTTATGCATAAAAACTAGAACTCGTTCACTTCCTAACAAAGTTTTAATTAATCCACATACCATATCCATGAATAATATGTACATTGCTATGGAATGGAAAAGTATTGTAATAAAATGATTTGTTTTTAATCACTTAACTTATTTTGTTAATAAGGTACACAATTTCAATCATAAGATTTCACGTACTCTCATATTTTAGTCCAATAAATATTCATTGTATGCTCTCTAAGATCTTTTTCACTTCCACGTATTCTCATATTTTAGTCCAATATATATTCATTGTATGCTTTTTAAGATCTTTTTCACTTCCACGTACTCTCATATTTTAGTCCAAAATATATTCATTGTATGCTCTTTAATATCTTTCTCAATTCCACATGGCATGTGATCTCCGGAATATAAAACCAATTTTTGTATGAGTGAAATAATATTAGAAGTAGCCAAGTAGTTGTTCATGATTAACTTAGGTATAATTAAGTCTAGCTTGTTATGACTAAGTTTAGCTATAATGTCTATACTTGGCAAAATATTAAAGAAAGTTCTAGAAGATTTGGGTGTACATGTCTATTTTGTTTCTTACAAAAGTCTAGATTTCAAGGAAAAACACTTTTGACTATATGATTAGTTTTGATTGCTTTGACTAAGTGATGAAAACATCATTAGGTGGACTAAGTCTAAAGTTGACTTAGTGGCAAGTGGAGTTTCTAGAAGTTGAAATGTCTCAAATGACATGTCTCTAGCTCAAACTAATTAATAAACTTCTAGAAAATTTAGGAGGCCAATGACATGTTAACACATATTAAGAATTAGTCAAATCTACCATGATTTAATTTTATAGGGAAAGTAAGTTAGAAATATATCAACATTTAAGGTAGTGACTAGTTATACCTCACATGGGGCTAATTAACCTTCATCTTAGTATACAGACTTCAATTATTGTGCGGATGGAACTATAGGGTCCGTGTGGAAAAAGCTGAACTTAGCAACTTCACTTCTTTCTAATGTAATCCAAAGATGCAATGGTGTAACCTGTCACGTCAGAATTTCACTGCCACCTTCGCGATCTAAAAGCCACATCAAGGTTATGGCAGTGAATACGGGCTCGTGGGTGCAAACAAGAGAGTATGCCCAAGTGACAGTTTAGACGTTGATGCTATGTAAGACCTGATGTTGTATGTGTGAACTAGAACTAGAATTAGCCAAGGAGTTAATCATGGTTAAGATAGTCATGACTAAATCTAGCTAGTTATGATTAAGTCTAGCTAGTTTAGCTTTGATGTCTGTACTTGGCGGAATAACTAGAGAAGTTCTAGAAGATTTGAGTGAGCACTTCTATTTTGTCTTGTACAAAAGTCTAGATTCCAAGAGAAAATACTTTTTGACTTTATGTTTAGTTTTGATTGTTTTGACTAAAGTAAGGAATACTCACACCTCTCTATGTAGGGCGAATTCCTTAGGTTCCGTATCTCGTCAAAATAAGGAACATTTTCAAAACAAAATAAAGAACATACGTAACATGACATAAATCTGTCATGTTTTCTTTAATAAACTTCGAATTAGACGACAGTGTAATATACCTTCAAGAGAAATGGGAGTTATATTGGACATATAAATATCATTCTCCCATTTCAAAACTGAAAAATCACTTTCTACCGTTGCAGTATTAGGAAATGGACAAGCTAATCCTCCTACAAATTCCATAAGTCGAGGAAACCTGTTCCTAATATTCGGAGTACTCCAAGCTTCACAAAAATCAGACTGCTCAGTCAACCTACTCAAAGCATTTCGAAGACGATGCTCTGTGTTTACAAAAACCAGAAGCTCTTTGTGTTCTTCCACTATTTTATCTATGTCCTCTTGTTCCCGAGAAACTT